CTAACGCAGTATATGCTCCGACCGTCCACACTCACAACAACGGCCTATACAGACATGAATAAACCAGCGACTGTTTTCGCCATGACACAGACAGTCTGTGGTTTGTACTTGTTTAACTTTTGTCTAGTTTCTGAACAGAAATGAGGAGCTGTGTCTCTGAGTGCTAACAACTAACGGCTGATGTTTTGGTTTTGTGGTTCGCATTGAAGATGACGTCACGGCAGTTTTACGCAGCGTCTCTCCGCCCGCCGAAAAGCCGATCGCCCCGCCTACACTGCGTTACTATAGTTACTACCCTAGTTCTAAACTGTAATGGAAACGCAGCATAAAGTGAGCCTGGCCTACCAACGCCTAACCATACCGTACTAAGCCGTGCTAGGTCCTGCAGTGGAAAAGCGCCATAAGTCTACCACACAGATGGGTAAGTAGAGAGACTAAGGTAAAAGAGGTTACCCCCTCGCCATCAAAAAAAGACATATCCTTCTGCAATGAACAAATAGGAAACTCACAAACTCAGGGATGAAGAACAGGTCGGGGATGGATGTAAAGACCCTGCCGCCTGTAGGCAGAACATCACCCATGGTGGTAGAAACTATAGTCCCAAACACTGTGAGTGTGTGTGTGAGTTCCTGTAGAATGATATGCGAAACCTTTTATTTCTGCCTTTTTAAAGCCATCATCCCCCCCCACCCCCATGTTACCTGCCACACCTCCCTCTATGTCTCCTCCCCCACTCCACGAAGATGTCTGTGGTGTGTGTGTGTGTGTGTGTGTGTGTGTGTGTGTGTGTGTGTGTGTGTGTGTGTGTGTGTGTGTGTGTGTGTGTGTGTGTGTGTGTGTGTGTGTGTGTGTGTGTGTGTGTGTGTGTGTGTGTGTATGGAGCTAATTTCCTGCCATAACTCCACAAACTAAACATGTTTTCCAAATGCCTTATCATTCACTAACAAACACAATGTGGTTCGGAAATACTAAACACCATTTCCAAACTAATGCATTTAGTTTTGCAAATAAAAAACGTATCTATCAAACACATTACATTTTTCTAATAAATCATGTTTCATAAACAAATACAGCATATGTTTTACGAGTAGGCTACAACATTTTTTTTCTACGACTACAAAAAATATATATATTCCGCCGTGGTCGTGTTGAGGATTTTCTCACAAATGTACACGTACACACTCACTATCACAGTGGTTCCCAACCTGGGGGGTTATGCAACATTACTATCTGATGATTGTACTGTGCAGGAAATGCCTGTAAACACTCTGCTGCTACTATCTTTACAAGAGAGTGAAGAACAGAAAAATGATATCTCAAAATACCAATTAGTGATATAATTAGTGATATAATCTTCTGTACATATTAATAACAGCTAAAAATAAAGAACTCATCAAATAAATGTTACTTTTTGGTGGGTATTTTATTTGTTAAACACGTTGCAAACAAAAAAAAGGAGTAGAGGAAATAGTTGTAGTGTCCTGTCAAATATGTTAAATATTAAGTGTTTGTGATTGTCATGTTCATGTTAGTTTAGTTTAGTAAAGTATTTCCTGAAGACAAAAACGTAAATATTATTAAGCTGTCAAACTAAATAATCTATACAGAAAAGTAGTAAGCCTGCAAGAGTAACATTTGGAGTGTATATATACATATAACATTCAAAATTAGAAGCCCTCAGAGCCCTCAGAGATTATTTACGCTGGCACATAAATGTGATAAAATTGAGGCTGAAACATGTTGTAATCACTTGCTATTTTTCCTCAATGTTATACAAATAAAAATGGCTGGCTAATTTGACGTTCAAGCGATGTTTCATGGAGCAGAAAGGTAATGGTGCTCATGGTATTTAATGACAATGTGTTTCCTTATCATGGAGAAGTTAAAAGGAAAAACAGGGAAGCCAGGATTAATGTCCAATAAATTTATTTTCAAAGATTTCACATAGAAAGACACCTGTAAAGTGAAATAATTTTCATTCAAATTCAAATGATAAATCATGTGGAAACATCCAAACATACTGTATATCTAAACAGAAAGAAAAGAAAAAACTTGTATCAAAATGTAATTTAAAAAAAGGGGGTACGGAGGAGAGTTTATCTATTATACATTAAGCTTTTGCTCATTGTAAACATGGAGAAAACAAGATGGAGAACAAGTTTTAAATATTCAAGGTTTCAGGTTTTTATCAGTACAAGCATTTTAAATGTGCTAAGATCTGCTATTAAATGTGGATGAAATGTTTTAATGACAGTTTGGTTTGTAGAAATGTTTACTGCCTGACGATTGTGAAAAGTCAAATACTTTGTCTTACACCATAAGTTCGGGGGGGTCATTGGTCCTTTTACCTGTACAGCAAAACCACATAAAGCCAACGACACTTTATTCAAATTTTCCAGAGCGATGAAAAGAAATGTGTTCTGAACTTGAAAAATATCATAATGTATATCCTGCTCCTGGAAATGTTATTACATCTTTGGTTGAATTAGTTATTGACACACATTTACCTTATACTACTGTTTTTTTGTAATATATTATATATATCTTTTTGTTTTGCAAACATATTTTAACTTTTCAGTCTTCTTTACCTTCTGATGAAACTGCTGCCATACTGATTATAGAATTGTGGGGTAATTATATATTTTTTAATAATAATTTTTGGGCAGAATTTTTGATAACGAGACCAATAAACAAATAACATTTAGCAATATTCTGGTTGTTTACCTTTCAGTCCTTCATTTGATATTTGGCATTTAGTTGTTTTCTTTTAAAGTAACTCATGTTGACCTTGAAATTAAGAGACACAACAACAACAAAAAAGTAATTCTGTTTTTCCTCCAATGACAGGTCAGCTGGTTATTTGGTTTCTTTAGGACCTCTTCCATCGAATGGCAGAGAAAATGGTATGGATGAAGTAGAAAAGAGTGGCCAAATAGGACATCACCTGGAAACACACACACACACACACACACACACACACACACACACACACACACAGACACACACACACACACACACACACACACACACACACACACACACACACACACACACACACACACAAAGAGAAACAAAGTCAAATCATTGTCAAATTGTAGTAGAATTAAGTTATGTCAACACACTGTTTTAAAGGTAACCATTAGCCAATAACCAACCAAGGTAACCCCCCCCCCCCCCCACCTTATCACCTGAATCTCCTCCTAGAGCACCATTGTGTTAGGGGACCTTTAAACAATATCTACTAAGATGCATTTTGATTTGAAGTGGACCTGTATTGCTTTTTTTCAGGCTCATATTGTATGTTTTTATTCTAGTGGAGATGTAAAATGAATTTTGGAGCTATATGGATAAAAAGGTTATATAAAAAGATGCATGTAGATTATTTCCCAATTGATTGAAAGATAAAACAATTAAAAAAAGAGCTTCACAGAAAAGCTGAAACATACAGAATACATTGTATATGATACTGAAAATCCCACCTTAAAACTGGAGTGACACTGGAATAAAGCATTTACATAACTAACGTATGGAGTTACTTTGTAAAAACTAATATTATCAATCACAAACTTTATCACTTAAAAAAAAAAAAGCTAAAGTAAAGTTGGAATCATCACAAAATGCTGAAAACATGTTATGATCCCCAGAGTTGTATCTTTATTAACTTGCAGTTATCAGAATAGTACAGTAAATGTAAGAAGTCTGTATGTGTGTGTGAGTGCGTGCGTGTGTGCGTGTACATGCGTGCGTGTGTGCGTGTACATGCGTGCTTGTGTGTGTTTCTGATTGTTTGACATACCACTGCAGCAATGTGCAGCTTGTAGAACTTGCGATGTTCAAAGAGCAAATCTGGGTCCACCCCCGGCACAGGCGCTAATGCTGCTAAAACCCTGGCCCACCAGGACCGTGATGAAGGCCAGCGCCACTGACGCACTAAGGTAGAACACCGTCGCAACAAAATGATAACCCACATCCTGAAAAGAAACAGCGAGAAGGAAAAGTTGGGAGACATGTTGATGAAGGTATGAAGTTAACCCTTTAACAGCCAGCGCCACCATTTGGTTGTGCACATTTTGTGGCTTGATATCTTGTTGAAAAATAAATAAAAAAGTTTAAGTCCATCTGATTTAGCTGACATGTTATGCACAAAACAACCTCTAGAATCTAGGTGCAAAAAATGTAATGCAAAGAAAAAAAAATTCCATTGCTTTTCTCTGGGTCTAGCAATTAAAGGGTTTTAAAGCATAAATCTATCTACTGCCAATATGGATGTCGTATGTTTTAAGGGAGACCTGCAAGTAAGCGTTGAAATGGCTCCCTCGACAAAAAGCAATGGGATTTTTTCATTTGATTTCCAAATATTGGAGAAAATTACCTCTGTGGCAAACAGATGTTTATGATATTTAAATGTTTTGTTCAGCAGGATAATCTTCACATATTAACACCACTTTGTGATTTTTTTAGACATATGCAATTACCAGAAGTAAAAAGCTAACGTAAAGCTATAAAGTAACTACATCCTGGTCTATTGGCTACTCATCACCACCAAAGATGGACTTGTGTTTGCCCTGATGACGTTTTATTAGTCCCATTTTGACGCTTGTTTGCAACCGCCATTACAATTACACATAGAAGCTTCGGACACTTAGGATTTTACTTAAATATCTTCAGCTGGTGTTAAAAACAGATTTTATCTAAGGCATCCAACCACAAACACAATAAAAAATAACGTTGCCTTTAGGACAAGGTAAAATGCTAATTAATTTCTTATCAGACTCTTGAACCACCATGTATTTGAATTAGCCAATTAGCTGGTGAGGGGCGTGTCTAACCAGGGCGGGCCAGCTGCTGCTCCGATTGGCTCCACAGAGGAAGATGAAGAACCAGAGTGTCGTCATCACGAAGCAGAAGACGGACACGAACATCACCCAGCCCATCACATTCACGACAACAGGTTCAAACCCAGCCGATGCCACCAGCATCCAAACCAGACCTCCGAACACCTGCAGGGTCACACAGGGGGGGCATTTTACAGCTTTGTTCTTACAGGACAGTAACACAACACATTTTCAAATTACAATGTTGCATCTGCATTAAACTGCCTTAAATTATTTTTGCATTTGGTTTCTAATTCTCAGTTTTCTCCATTACATAGATTTCATTTACTAAGTTATTCCATTGTGAGTTTACTAAATTGGGGAAAATGGGTCGAGTATAGAACAATATAATTAATATATACCTGAGTATAGTATACATTCTTTTATTTGCAATATTATTATTATTACTATTATTTTAGTATTTATTTTCCTACTTGTCATCTGTTATGTAGTTAATCTATGTACCTAGATGTGTTTATTTTTGTTATGTATGCTTTGTGAATATTTTCTTAAAATGCAAATAAAAAATAAAATAATAAAAAACTATATCTTTTTTGGCCACTTGGGGGCAGCAGAAAAACCCTGTTAACAGAACATTGTAGTGCCGAGAGAAGGGAGTCGGAGGCGGTGCATCGAAGGTGCAAATCTGGCTTTATTGAGCAGCAGAAATGGACATGCTGTCGGGTCGCAGCCCGGGAAGAGAAGAGAAAGCGAAAGGGAGGAGGACACAGTATATACTCCGGAGGTACCGTCAACATATGTGTCCGTGTGGAAACAATACCCCCAACCTGTAGTTCCTTGATTGAATTATGTAACCCCGTTAATTAGTGATCACTACACAAGCTCCCCCAGAATTCAACCATGGACACAATCCTCGCGTCCGGGAGGAAGCACCACAGGGGCCGAGGAGGGCGGGGCCGCCGGCGAGGGCCGGGCCATGGAACGGGCCGTCGGAAGGGGGCCGCAGGAGAGGGTAGGGGCCCTAACGAGGGCGAGGGCATCCCCACCGGGGGGTGGGGGGCGGGCCGGAACGGGCCGTCGTCAGGGGGCCGCAGAAAGCAGGGTCGATGTGTTGCGACGTGGGGACAGGCGTGAACATCCCGGTGGTCCCCAGCAGGGAGGAGCGCTGCCCGGCCGCAGGCGAAGGCACAGCGGCGGCGGGTACGAAGTCCTCGGGAGGAGGGAGCCGTGTCCCCGGGAGGAGGGAGCCGTGGACAGGGGAGAGACCAGACGGGGCGCCGCCCGAAGCCGCCGTCAAGGCGAACCGTGAGCCGCGGTTAGAGGTGAGGCCAGGCAGGGTCCCGAAGCGCGCCACTCACGGGCCGATGAAGGCATGGGCGACGTCCGAAACCGCCGAGGTGAGGGAAGAGGCCAGACAGTATCCCGAAGCGCGCCACCCACGGGCCGATGAAGGCATGGGCGACGTTCGAAGCCGCCGTCGAGGTGGCGAAAAAGCGAGAAGGTCCACACGAGGCCGAACCTCCTCTCAGGCACCCGGAAAAAAACTCAAAAGGGTCGTCCTGTCCACGATCAAAAACAGATGGGCGAAGTTGCGAGAGGATCCACACGAGGCTGACCAGACTTGATCGAACCTCCTCTCCGGCACCACAAAAAAAAAAACAGTCGGATGTCGATAGCCGCTAGCTGCTAGTCGTTAGCTGTCGTCGTCAGCCGTTGCTAGCTGTCGTCGTTAGCCGTTGGTAGCTGCTAGCCGTCAGCTGTCGTGGCTAGCTGTCGTTAGCCGTTGGTAGCTGCTAGCCGTTAGCAGTCGTGGCTAGCCGTTCTCGACGGCCGTTAGTCGCTGTCGTCAACGTCGTCGTCGTCCCCGGAGCCCATGCTAGGCGGCGTGCCCCCACCAGGGAAGGTGCTGCAGCGTGTAGTGGCAAGCACCTCAGGGGTAAATCGCCGGGCGGCCAGGAAGAACCAGCTAGCTTCTTCGGCCAAAGCGCGGGGCCCAACACTAGCCGTGTTAGCTAGAGCAGCCTGGACATGCAGCCACATGTCCCGAAGAAACAGCTCCACGAGGTAGAAGTCGGGTTCCTCCATACCTAGCAGGTCGCGGGAATGGCGAGCGACGTCCTCAGCCATTCCGTGGGGCGCACCGAGCCTCAGTCTGTGTGCACATGGCAGCCACGGACGTCTCCAAGAATCTCCGGCATTTCGAGAAAAGCTGCGCTTTTTGCCGTGTTCGGTTCAGTCTCGGATCCTTCGCGAGACTTATGTCAGGGTCACCAATGTAGTGCCGAGAGAAGGGAGTCGGAGGCGGTGCATCGAAGGTGCAAATCTGGCTTTATTGAGCAGCAGAAATGGACATGCTGTCGGGTCGCAGCCCGGGAAGAGAAGAGAAAGCGAAAGGGAGGAGGACACAGTATATACCCCGGAGGTACCGTCAACATATGTGTCCGTGCGGAAACAATACCCCCAACCTGTAGTTCCTTGATTGAATTATGTAACCCCGTTAATTAGTGATCACTACAACATTTACATATCATAAGCTTTGAAGTTGGTAAAGCAAACTGTTTTATACTTCCATGCGTTATGTAGCACGATATCTAACTGTTGGAGTTGTGTCTCTGGGCTTCTGATCAATACAGGTGAATATTCACTATCTGTTGGCTCTGTTTTTGGTCCCTATCAACACGTGAGGGGAAATATTTCTAGTAGCTAAATGCTTCACTTTATTCACCTGCTAGTCTTTTGAGTCTATCTGTCAGTGATAAAGAACAAAACAGTAATGTTGTCGGCCTGAGAGCAAAACAAATATCTGAACCCACTTTAAAGTTCTCGATTTAGGTGGAAATTATCTGTCTGTTTATCACTAACGGCCCGTCCACACAGCGGCGTGCGTTGAAAGCTTCACCATTCACTTGAATGGGGTGACCGAACTGCATTGAGGGAAGCGAAGCGGAGCTTTGCTGGCGTGGCTCGCTGCAAAAGTTGAGAAATGTTCAACTTTTGAAGCTTCTGAAGCTTCGGTGGAAGCGTCAGCCAATCAAATCCCGTTTATGCAAATCTGCCAGTACAAGCGCTAGCCAATCAAACCGCGTGTATGCTGGGAGAGACACACCGCAGGTCATTTCCTCATATTCCAAAAAATGGAGCAAGCTTCAACGCACGCCGCTGTGTGGACGGGCCGTAAAAGTACTCTTTCTACTTAAAAAATGTATTATTTACTGCTTATGATACAACTTGATCCTAGGTGATTGCCCGACACACACACACACACACACACACACACACACACACACACACACACACACACACACACACACACACACACACACACACACACACACACACACACACACACACACACACACTGTACAGGTTGTTTGTCAAGATGACAAAGCAAAATCATTTCCACACAAACCTTTGGACGGCAGGTGAAAGCAGCTTCAACCGGACATAAATGAGTGCCGATATACGCCATGTTTTATCTTTTAAATAAGATTGCCAGTGTTTCTTGTATTGCTTTATTTCCTATTTAAATGTATGCCAGCCTGTAACTGAAAAGCCCCTTAAACGTAGGCCAACACAGCTTGATTGTGCAGATTCTTCCAGACTCATTGATTTTCTTTAAATAACCAAATACAAACCGAGTAGGTGGAATGCAAAAACGCTGGTGGGAGGGCCAGAGATTTTCAAATGTAAAGAGATAAGCCTCAGTGTGGGATTATCAGATGCAAAAAAACAGGATCTAATAGTTAGCACTTTAACACACACACACACACACGCATGCACGCACGCACGCACGCACGCACACACACACACACACACACACGCACAAATAGACACACTCTCTCATTTGTATTTCTAATCCTTGATGTGGTTTAAACAGGATGGCGTTTTATCACAACCAAATTTAACTTTATCTCCGGTAGAATTCTGATCAGGCATTAGCTCTGCCCCCTCTTCTTTTTTTTTTCAAGCTCAGGACCCAAAATCCACGTTTCTCTAACAGGGCTGCAAAAGAGGGGTTTGAGCAGTATGAGGGATGGCTACAATGGGGGATCTGTTTGGTATTTTGAAAAAAAAACTTCACAGACATGTTTTATATAGGTATGGCCCTACAATATATGTTTCAAATATAGCATGATAGGTCCACTTTAATATGGTGGCCGACAGGTGCAAATGCCTTACAACGGCCCAAACTATTTCCATTAGGGGAAACATGCTGCAGTTTCAGAAACGATGCAAATGTTATTCTCCCCGACCATCAACAAGCACTACAGTCCCAGCTGTGTGCTTCACTTTTTAGTGTCCCCATTTCCGATGTGTTTTGAGATTCATTCCGCATTTTCTATTTGATATATATTTCGTTTATGCAGAGCTTTTAGTAAACACTGGGCATGTTCCAGTAAGTTGTTGATTGTTACTCATAATGGAAGTGTTATATCTCTCACAGGCTCCGCCCTCTACTGGACTCTATGGGTACTACCTTATCCCGCGTGCATTCTCCCACTCAGACTTCTATAGACGTAGCCGGCCCAGGGCGGGCCTACCTGAATGCGCGCGCATCACACCGTATAAAAGGAGGCCTCGTCTCCTGACTATCATCCTTTTTTTCTTCAGCAGCGGAAGTGATTCCACGAGCTTCGAGACGATTGAGAAAAAGAGAGTAAAGTGTAGGACCTACCCGAAATGCCCGAATCTAATTACCCTTCTACTTCACGTCCTTGGGGCCTGACCACACGGTGGGTAATATGGGCCCGACGCTGACATGCCCAGACTGCCAGATGATCCCGCGGCTCACACGAGAGCATCGTTGGCAGCACTTCCTGGCGAGGGCTACCCCGCAGGAGGAGTCGGTGGATCTGGAGCTCGACGTCGTGGACGTAGGCGATTCGGGGAGCGAGGTGACGTCTCCCGGTTCTTCTGATGGGGGACGAGGAGGACGCCTCGCTGACCGGAGGTCCAACTCTCAGGTCTGCGCGGATCGATTTCCCGGCGGTGATGACTCTGGCGGCGGAGCTTGTAGGCTTACCGCTCCCCCCACCGCTGCCACGAGGCCTGTAAACCTCCTGAGATTTACGGCCCGGTGCGTCCGGCGCAGCCGACCTTCGTTTCGCCCCAGCTGCCAGAGGTATGGCGGTGTGTGGAGGCGACATGGCAGCAGCCATTTAAAA